ATTTTGTAGAACTTTCATGGCAAACTTCACGTCAATTGCTGAAATATATATATATATATATATATATATATATATATATATATATTATATATATATATATATATATATATATATATATATATATGTCGTGCCGAATAGGCAGAACTTGCGATCTTGGCTTAAATAGCAACGCTCATCTTGCCATATAGGACAAGTGAAAATTTGTGTATGCAATAATTTCGCCAAAATCATTCTGAACCTAACGAAAAAAATATATTTCACTGTGTTTGTTTAGTATTAAATTATTGTAAACAAATCTAAAATGTATTTAGTTGGGTTAGGCTAAAATAAATTGTTCTTGTTATAATAAGGTTAGGTAAGTTTTCTAAGATTCTTTTGGTGCAAAATTAAAAATTTTTACATTAACATTAATGGAAAAAATATATCTTTAAACGTATAAGAGAAAATTTCAGAAAGGACTTAATTTTAAATGAGTTCTTGCTAATTGACCAGTTTTACATATTCGGCACGACATATATATATATATATATATATATATATATATATATATATATATATATATATATTATATATATATATATATATATATATATATTATATATATATTATTTATTTTATTATCACACTGGCCGATTCCCACCAAGGCAGGGTGGCCCGAAAAAGAAAAACTTTCACCATCATTCACTCCATCACTGTCTTGCCAGAAGGGTGCTTTACACTACAGTTTTTAAACTGTAACATCAACACCCCTCCTTCAGAGTGCAGGCACTGTACTTCCCATCTCCAGGACTCAAGTCCGGCCTGCCGGTTTCCCTGAACCCCTTCATAAATGTTACTTTGCTTACACTCCAACAGCACGTCAAGTATTAAAAACCATTTGTCTCCATTCACTCCTATCAAACACGCTCACGCATGCCTGCTGGAAGTCCAAGCCCCTCGCACACAAAACCTCCTTTACCCCCTCCCTCCAACCTTTCCTAGGCCGACCCCTACCCCGCCTTCCTTCCACTACAGACTGATACACTCTTGAAGTCATTCTGTTTCGCTCCATTCTCTCTACATGTCCGAACTACCTCAACATCCCTTCCTCAGCCCTCTGGACAACAGTTTTGGTAATCCCGCACCTCCTCCTAACTACGAATTCTCTGCATTATATTCACACCACACATTGCCCTCAGACATCTCCACTGCCTCCAGCCTTCTCCTCGCTGCAACATTCATCACCCATGCTTCACACCCATATAAGAGTGTTGGTAAAACTATACTCTCATACATTCCCCTCTTTGCCTCCAAGGACAAAGTTCTTTGTCTCCACAGACTCCTAATTGCACCACTCACCCTTTTCCCCTCATCAATTCTATGATTCACCTCATCTTTCATAGACCCATCCGCTGACACGTCCACTCCCAAATATCTGAATACATTCACCTCCTCCATACTCTCTCCCTCCAATCTGATATCCAATCTTTCATCACCTAATCTTTTTGTTATCCTCATAACCTTACTCTTTCCTGTATTCACTTTTAATTTTCTTCTTTTGCACACCCTACCAAATTCATCCACCAATCTCTGCAACTTCTCTTCAGAATCTCCCAAGAGCACAGTGTCATCAGCAAAGAGCAACTGTGACAACTCCCACTTTATGTGTGATTCTTTATCTTTTAACTCCACGCCTCTTGCCAAGACCCTCGCATTTACTTCTCTTACAACCCCATCTATAAATATATTAAACAACCACGGTGACATCACACATCCTTGTCTAAGGCCTACTTTTACTGGGAAATAATTTCCCTCTTTCCTACATACTCTAACTTGAGCCTCACTATCCTCGTAAAAACTCTTCACTGCTTTCAGTAACCTACCTCCTACACCATACACCTGCAACATCTGCCACATTGCCCCCCTATCCACCCTGTCATACGCCTTTTCCAAATCCATAAATGCCACAAAGACCTCTTTAGCCTTATCTAAATACTGTTCACTTATATGTTTCACTATAAACACCTGGTCCACACACCCCCTACCTTTCCTAAAGCCTCCTTGTTCATCTGCTATCCTATTCTCCGTCTTACTCTTAATTCTTTCATTAATAACTCTACCATACACTTTACCAGGTATACTCAACAGACTTATCCCCCTATAATTTTTGCACTCTCTTTTGTCCCCTTTGCCTTTATACAAAGGAACTATGCATGCTCTCTGCCAATCCCTAGGTACCTTACCCTCTTCCATACATTTATTAAATAATTGCACCAACCACTCCAAAACTATATCCCCACCTGCTTTTAACATTTCTATCTTTATCCCATCAATCCCGGCTGCCTTACCCCTTTCATTTTACCTACTGCCTCACGAACTTCCCCCACACTCACAACTGGCTCTTCCTCACTCCTACAAGATGTTATTCCTCCTTGCCCTATACACGAAATCACAGCTTCCCTATCTTCATCAACATTTAACAATTCCTCAAAATATTCCCTCCATCTTCCATATATATATATGTATATATATGTATATATATATATATATATATATATATATATATATATATATATATATTATATATATATATATATATATATGCTCGATACTTCAGTTAACAACGAGTATTTTAAACTCTTGATATTGTCTTTGATATTGCCCAATACAGTAATTTATTCTAAATATTTTACTACATCGCTTTCAGTAGCGACTGTCAGATGTATTCCAGCACCTGACTAACCCTCCAGCACCTGACCAACCCTCCAGCACCTGACCAACCCTCCAGCACCTGACCAACCCTCCAGCACCTGACCAACCCTCCAGCACCTGACCAACCCTCCAACACCTGACCAACCCTCCAGCACCTGACCAATCCACCAGCAGCTGACCATCCCTCCCTTCATCACTAGTAGCAACCAAGACTCCAGCATCCCACCTTCATTAGCAAACATGACAAACAAGACATGTACTCACGACAGTTGTCTTCATCATCCCAGGTGAGTGGACACTGAACCTCTCCATCACACAACATGCTCGGGGGTAGACAGGGCCCTGACCCACACTGGAACAAACCAGGGCCACATCTTTCCTTGGCTGCACTCGCACAAAATGTAAACGAGGGGTGAGTTAAATCATCTGGAGTGAATAGTACTCATACTGGGTATCTCACTACCCAGTACCCATACTGGGCATCTCACTACCCAGTACCCATACTGGGTATCTCACTACCCAGTACCCATACTGGGTATCTCACTGCCCAGTACCCATACTGGGTATCTCACTGCCCAGTACTCATACGGGGTATCCCACTACCCAGTACTCATACGGGGTATCCCACTACCCATTACTCATACGGGGTATCCCACTACCCAGTACTCATACGGGGTATCTCACTACCCAATACTCATACGGGGTATCTCACTACCCAATACTCATACGGGGTATCTCACTACCCAATACTCATACGGGGTATCTCACTCCCCAGTACTCATACAGGGTATCTCATTACCCAGTACTCATACGGGGTATCTCACTACCCAGTGCTCATACGGGGTATCTCACTACCCAGGACTCATATGGGGTATCTCATTACCCAGTACTCATACGGGGTATCTCACTACCCAGTACTCATACGGGGTATCTCATTACCCAGTACTCATACGGGGTATCTCACTACCCAGTACTCATACGGGGTATCTCACTACCCAGTACTCATACGGGGTATCTCACTACCCAGTACTCATACGGGGTATCTCACTACCCAGTACTCATACGGGGTATCTCATTACCCAGTACTCATACGGGATATCTCACTACCCAGGACTCATACGGGGTATCTCACTACCCAGGACTCATACGGGGTATCTCACTACCCAGGACTCATACGGGGTATCTGAACACCCCAACACAATGTAAATTAAAGACACATTGCAAAACTTAAAAGGCATTTTAAGAAATGTGGGCGAAACAGACTTTTTTTCTGGAAATGTGATCGAAACATCTGCTAAACAAAACTTACTAAGTACATTTACCTGTCCTTGTTTCAGTTTGTGAAAAAGAGACCCAGATTACTGATCAAACTTTTATAAAGACGACTTTTAGCCCTACTCAGAGCGAAACGTTGTCTTCGTAAGTGTGGTCAACAACACATTTAGAACTCAATGAGTAGTTTCTAATTTATCTTAGAAATGCTCTTATAGCTTTGTAACTGAGCGTATATTGGCCGGTGAGGTGGTTTAAAGCCTGTCGACTGCAGGAGAGTCATTAAAGTTGCATTTCGCACCTTAAAACCTAAAATAACTTAATTTGGGGAAGACTGAGCTACAATATACTGCATTAGTTTGAGCACGGCTTCTCTCGAGTGTCAAAGCAAGCCATGTTGAACGAGTCAATGTGACCTGACCTGACTAGGTTGGGTGCATTGGCTTAAGCCGGTAAGAGACTTGTACTTGCCTCGCATGGGCCAGTAGGCCTGCTGCAGTGTTCCTTCGTTCTTATGTTCTTAAAAAAATCATATTAGGTTCGATCCCCGTACCCGGACCTCAGTGTGTGAGCCGAGTGCGCTACCAACCGAGCTACGGAACACCTGCTTAATACCCTGCTAGAAGTTTCGCTAGTATTGCCCTTGCGGTAGACTAATTTACAAGTGCCTTATGGAAGAGTAGCTCCACTTCCACGGATCAAGAGCCTTTAGCGAGCCTCAAATCACGCACCTTCCTCCCCATCTATCAACCTGAAGAAGCAACTAGCAGTAACTGCTTCATTCAGAAGTAAAATACTTGAACCACGCCAGTCAGCCTTCCGCCATACACAACACTACTGCATTATTATTTTACTATTATATTTTAACTATTCTTTCTTTTGCTTATTATTATTACAGGTCCCTGGCTATGTGAAGACTGGGTCCAAATACCGTATTGTAATTAGTAAGGAAAATACGTTTGCAAAAGTAACTTTTATTAGGTGTACGTTTTGTAGACCTAATAAAAGTTGCAGAGTTAAAAAAAAATAGGGCATGAAACATGCTATGTCGAGCAAGATGAGGTCAGGGGCACAGGATAACTGGTAATATAGTTGCAACACTAACAGTAACGGGAGGAAGAGAGAGACAGAGAGAGGGGGGGGCAGATGCATCGTGCTGAGGACGCAGGAGGAGGAAATGAGGGACAGAGCATCTAGTTCAACACGTAGGAAGGAAGAAAAGTGTTTGGTTCAACACGTAGGAAGCAAGTAAAGACTCGCTTAAAAAGGATAACTCATTAATATCGCTGGAGGTGGAAGGAGTCAACTCAGGATGATTAAAAGAGCGAGAAGAAAAATAAGAGAGCACGATGTTAAATGGACAAGGTGTGAGAGCGACGCTGGAGAGTCCAGCACTAAAGTCAACATTACTTGAAGGCTCAGGCTGAAAGATTTCATTACTGTGTGTAATCCTATCCCATGTGATGGAGTGTGGGATTATATCTATCCTGCTGATAGATGGCGAGAAAATAACTTACAGCAGTTGAGGAGGTGAGAAGAGTCAGCACACGCTTGTCTAGGTCCCACTGAAGCATCACACTTGTACCGCAGTGGTACGCACTGGCCACTGGCGCATCGCAGCTCATCCAACCTGCACTCCCTCCTGCGCTCTAAGAGACAACACCCAACATATACACTATCTTAATATATAGAGGTAAATCAATTATATATATATATATATATATATATATATATATATATATATATATAATATATATATATATATATATTGCAATAAGATCACAGTAAACAGGTGATTTTAAAATATGCAAAACAACCACTGTGAAAGAGTAGTGAAATTCCAAGCGCTTGGAATTTCACTACTCTTTCACAGTGGTTGTTTTGCATGTGTATATATATATATATATATATATATATATATATATATATATATATATATATATATATATATATATATATATATATATATATATATATATATACAGGATAGCAGCACTACCTATGTTGATGCTAGAAGCCCTGAGACAAGAATATTAAAATTCAATTAAAAAAATATTTGTCCTCGTAATTTTTTTTCCATATGCAGCTGGAATTAAAATTACACTGCGTATGGTTGAGAAATTCTTATTAGCGCTTACATTTCAAATCCTTTATCCAGTCTAAAAGACATCATACACTAACTCTGTAGAGCCTAGGATACATCTGACATTAACGCTCTGTGGAACAATAGCGATGTACCAGAACACAAAGCTGGCTGTCCTGGGTTAACAGTGAGGTGCCGTAACACAAAACTGGCTGTCCTGGGTTCTTTACTTCGCTTTAGTTAATTGCCAGAATTCTCTCTCTCAGGAACTTGAATATTTAATTTGCCACTAGCCGAGTCCTCAAGTGTATTGGAACGGAGTGCTAGCACTGCAAGAGTTCCTAGTATTATCTAGAGAACAACGAGAGACAATACCGTTATTGGAACAATACACAACCCGCACACAGGAGAGAGAAACTTATGACGACGCTTCGGTCCGACTTGGACCACTGACTACCAACGTCATATGCTTCTTTTTCCTGTTTACGGGTTATATGTGAGCATTATTATCTAGTTCCCGGGACTGTGAACCCATCAGCACTACCACCAACTGCTGATCTGGTTTGCTGAGGATGAATGTGGATCATTGTGGATGCACATATATGATCCCCACACCATCTGTTTATCTAGCTCTCTTAAACTGGACGCTTTTAACTGTCAACAGATCTGTACTACCAGCTTCACTTGGGCAAGGTGGCGGGCTCTACCCAGGCTTCCCTTAATTAACGATAACCTTAATTTCTTCTTGAGACAACGAGGGCAGACTTTGTCTGCTGATTCACCCGTCTTCGGCGAGAATGAGGACCAGAACCATATCAATGTGATGGTCTGAGGATCGAATCAAGGACTCGGGAAAAAATCAAGGAAATTGTGAACATTCTCAAGCAATGTTCATGTGATGTTCTTCCTCATGTGAACTAAGCCAGCGGGGGCTGACCTGCGGTCATTAGTGTGTGATGGTTAAGTTTGAGACTGCAGAAGTGCCTCAGTACTTGGCTCCTATGAACGTAGGAGAAATGCCAGTAGAAATTCATATGCTTCAAAACAGCTTTCTGATACAGTCAGCTCACCACCACCACCACGACAGAAGTCATCTCACCACAAGAGTCATCTCACCACAACAAGTCATCTCACCACAACAAGAAGTCAGCTCACCACCACCACTACGACAAGTCAGCTCACCACAAGTCAGGTCACCTTAACAAGAAGTTAACTTACCACCACCACAAGAGTCAGTTCATCACAACGATAAAGAGTCAGGTTATCATAATAAGAGTCAGCTCACCACAAGTCAGATCATAACAAGTCAGCTTACCACCACTACTAGAGTTAGTTCACCACAACGATAAAGAGTCAGGTAATCATAACAAGAGTTAGCTTACCACAGTGTGCCTCATCAGATGCGTCAGGACAGTCAGGCAGCCAGTCACACCAGAGCTCCGGCTTCACACACTGCCCGCTGTCACACCTCCGTCTGTCAGCACCACAGCTCACCGTACCTGCCACACCCAGTGAAGAGAACACGTAGTGAGGTACTGGGAGGGAGAGGGGTGGAGAGAGAGAGAGAGAGAGAGAGAGAGAGAGAGAGAGAGTTGCGGAAGAAAATGACAACAAAATGTGTGTGAGAGAGATAGAGATAAGAGAATTAAAGAAAAAATATCTGCAGGGGAGAAGATGGAACACAAAAGCCAATTAATTATCTTAATTAAACAAGGCAGTAATTGCTAACTTAATCACAAAAAGGATTCTATGTATAAATCTGAAATATAAACTGATCAAACAAACGCTCAACAATAATTACCTATAACACTACCAAGATAATCACTCCCCTTAATTTACAACCTCTCTCAAAAACCTTTCCTTTTATTCAAAGTGTTTATCCTCTTAAGAAACACGAACCCAAGAAGAGCGATCGTCACTCTTGAGGTAAACTGAGATTTCTGACACAGCCACAGGGGAATGATTAATAATAATAATAATAATAATAATAATAATAATAATAATAATAATAATAATAATCTTTTTTTCTACAAGTATATGATACAACTTATACAGACCATAGCTGATATCAATAACATATTATATAGGAAGTCCCTGGTTATGTAGAGCATATCGGGCAAATTAGGTCAGTCTTGTCCCCCAGGATGCGACCCACACCAGTCGACTAACACCCAGGTACCTACTTGCTGTTAGTTGAACAAGGGCGGAAACATGCCCCCAATGTTTCCACCCGTACCGGGGTCGAACCACGGACCTCAATGTGTTAAACGAGTGCATTACCACCCGAGTTAGGGTTGGGTCCCCTTCTTGCCGAAACGTGATGCACGTGTCTTTTTCGACAACATGTCGGTGCTACATGAGAACATGAGATTGGAGGAGCACTGCAGGAGGCTTACTGACTCACACTGGTATTCTGGCTCACGAAATCGTACTAACACGATTGCAAAAAAAAAAAAAAAATCAGGGAACGAGCCAGTACGTTAACCAGCTGGCCAAGTGGTTAACGTATTGGCCTGCCAGTTTTAGAACTCACTTGCCATGGGTTCAAACCCCCACTCGTCCCATGACTTTTTTCTTTAGGGTAAAGTTTGAAGGGAAACTGACGCAGATACATTCACTGTGGAGACCTTTATTGAAAACGTTTCGCTCCTTGGACCTTGATCACCTCAAATACATTTGAAGTGATCATGTATTCGAGGTAATCAAGGTGCAAAGACCGAAACGTGCTCAGTAACGGTGGATACGTTCGTTCCCATCTTCATGTGGTCGGCAGTCACTTGCCTAATTACTAGACGATACATTATCCCCAGACAGCAAATGTTAGCACGTAATACTACTCAACTCCCAAGAGACAACGTTTACTACTGACAAGTTTCCTTAACTACTGAGAGACAACGTTTACCACTGATAATGTTCGTTATCTACTGAGATACAACGTTTACCACTGACAAGGTTCGTTACCAACTGAGAGACAACGTTTATCACTGACAAGGTTCATTACGTACTGAGACAAAACATTAACATGCGACAAGGCACATTAACCCTCTTATTACCAAACATTTACAAAGATACGTTAGTCCCCTAAAATAAATGTTGTCCCTTCCTGACTAGGCACATTATCCCTCCCGACGACAGCAAACATTCACACATAACACTGCATTAACTCCCTACAGCAGATGTTTACACAGATAAAAGCATCGCAACAAGAAATGTTTACCAACCACAATTGACCTCGTCTGACTTATCATGGCACTGATAGGTGAGGTCACAGCGGCCGGCTGCAGGGATGCACTGCCCGCTCCTGCACTGCCACTCAGAGCTCTGACACTCAGGACGGGCTGCAGAGATGGGAGAGCTTCGGTTAGTAATTTCTAATACTAGAGACGCACTAGAGAAGTTGATTTTGGATACAACGTTAATGCTAAAATATTTGAGCATAGAAAAGAAGTCCTGTACTATAAGGAGGAGGAGGAGAAAGAAGAAGCAGCAGCAGCAATCATTTTCAGGATTATTAAAGGTGATCCCCACAATTTTCGAAGATAAAACATATGCCAGGTTAGGTCTATCCACTCTATCCACCTCTTCCATCTATGTATCTACCTCATGCATCCATCTATCCACGACATCATCTTGGCAAGGCCTGTCTATTCTGTCTTCACATATTTGATTCATGTCTCCTGCTTAGCCTCCCTGATTCCCCTGTGGGGAGTCCTCCGTCTCCTACTAATATTACTAATACTCCTACTACTACTACTGCTACTAATACTCCTACTACTAAGAATAATACTCCCACTACTACTACTCTTCCTCCTTGTCCTCCTCCTCCTCCCACATCCTCTTGGTAGAAGCAGTACACAGTTTGACTGACACTGGAGACACAGTACATAGTCTGACTGACACAGGAGACACAGAATATAGTCTGACTCACAGCAGTTGAGTTCGTCGTCACCATGGAGACAGTCGTATTTGTGGTCACAGTGAAGGTTGGGAGGGAGACATCTACCGTCACTACAGGAGAACCAGTCACTACGATTTCCATCACCTCCTCCACAAGTCTCCTCTCCTGCAACATAAACAAGACCACTTATTGGTAGCACATAAGAATGAAAGTGGTTGAAGTGGTGTGTTAATACCAACAGGCGAAAGGTAAGAGACATCTGCATTAAGAACACATGGGCACAATACCGTGGCTGGAACAATACATACATAACCCGCACATAGGAGAAAGAGACTTTATTACAACGTTTCAGTCCGACCTGGACCATTAACTAGTCACACTAACACACGAAGGTAAGGGAGCCAGTATATATACACGATAAGAGGGCAGGAATGGGACAGAGAGAGTACAAAGCAAGAAGGAAGGGAAGATCAACACATCTGTTAAGGAGAAGTGTCGTCACCAGAATAGCGAAATTATTCTCAAGGAAATCTCGAGTGCAGAATCAAGTCACAACACACAAGGTGAATCAATTCACAACCAACCTACAAAATTCCATCCGGTTCCTTCCACTTTGTGGTTAGTTGCCGAGTCAGGGAAAGTTATGAATGGAATGTTTTGTCTAGGCCTAAATCTACGTAATGTACAACTGATATAAGCCTACAACATCCCTCAGAACCATTCTACAAAGTTACAAGACTATCCGAAAAATCATTTGTAGATATCCAAATTAAACTTATCTTGACGTACGCTATTTGATCCTTGCACACCAAGATTATATACACCAAGAGGTGTGTGTCTCATTATATATACATTGAGAGTATACTTTAAATCATTACAGTATTCTTGACTGGTGGTGAAAGAATCACTCGCAGCCTTTATGACCCTTGTTTAGTCGATGGGCTTTAAACCCCACGAACCATTCATTTCTTTTACCTTGATGGAAAAATTGATTCTCACGAGGGGAGAGAGAGAGAGAGAGAGAGAGAGAGAGAGAGAGAGAGAGAGAGAGAGAGAGAGAGAGAGAGAGAGAGAGAGAGAGAGAGAGAGAGAGAGACAGACAGACAGACAGACAGAGACAAAGAGATAGCACAGTTACATAACTCTGTCAATACTGCCAGAGAGACGGCGAAAATATGACAGCAGTAGTAACAACAGTCATACCACATGGCTATCCCCCACCTCTTCCTCTACTCCCCTAATCAGAATTTCTAGCCCTTCATAATCCCCGTCCTCCACATCTAACGTTATCACTGTCCCAACACCCATCCCCCCAATCTTCCTATTCCACGTGTATCCCCCCTCCCTCATATCTCGTCCCCCCCCCCTGAGCCCCCACCCACAACAAATATCCCCACCAAATCATGTGGTCATTAATCAATGTCAGGGTAACAGTGCCTCAAGAGTGCCATGGCTGGCACTGCTAGTTAAAATGACCGACTCAGACCGGTATTACTGCAGAGGAACAAGACCTTTCCAGGGAGCAACCAATACAACAACCAGTACAACAACCAATACAGGAATCAATACAAAACCAATACAGGAACCAGTACAGCAACCAATACAACAGGAGCAGCAAAATCCCGTAGTATATGTCTGTAACACAAGTACTGGAGCTGGTTGACACATTCACCACACTACCACCACCTACCTACACCTGAGAACATCACAACACATCATGTTTGAAACACTCACATCACACTACCCATCTCAACACCACCACCAATACCACCACAACCACAATACCACCACTACCTCAGTACACTCACACCGCCAGCATCAACACCACCACAACCACAACACCACGACTATAGCCACAACACAACCACTACCACAGTACACTTGCAACACCACCACTACCCCAGTACGCTCACACCACCACCACTATCCCAGTACACTCATACCACCACTACCCCAGTACACTCACACCACCACCACCACTATCCCAGTATATTCACACCACTACCACTACCCCAGTACACTCACACCACTACTATCAACACCACTATCACCCGAGTACATTCACCACAACACTACATGGTTGTAAGACTCACCACAGCCAGATTCATCCGAGAGGTAGCCACCATTATGACAGTCATTGCGACCATCACAGAGGAAGGGGAGGGTGATACAGCGGTCCAGGACCCGGTCCAAGCTGGCCACGGAACAGCTCATTGATGAACCAACTTCACACACCTTCACACCTGTAAGAAAACACACATGTGATTTTTAAAATAGTCACCCATCACACCTGTACTTGTTAAAATAGTTATCCATCACGTCTGTACTTGTTTAAATGGTCAACTATCACACCTGTACCTGTTAAAATAGTCAACCATCACACATTTCATTGTTTAACTCGAGGACGCTGACAGGTGTGGGAAGACTCACCTGCAGGTGTAGAGGAAGGTGACGTACCGTCAGTCAAGGTGTAGGTAAGGTGGGTACAATTGGCCTCGTCAGCACAGTCGGGTACACAGTCACAGATGGCGTCACACAGGTTGCTGACAGTCACACAGCGACTGTTGGGGCACTGGAACTGCCAAGCTGGGTCACACTCACCACCTGTGGCACAACACAACATTGTTGCCACTACACCTCAGACTACAACTTGGCTCCTGCACTCTCCCCCCTCCCTCTCTCTCTCTCTCTCTCTCTCTCTCTCTCTCTCTCTCTCTCTCTCTCTCTCTTCTCTCTCTCTCTCTCTCATTGCTTCCCCTCTTTCTTCCCTCTCATAGTAAGTTTATTATTATTATTTAGTGTTATTACTTTTATCATTACTATTATAATTACTTTTATTATTATTATTATTATTATTATTATTATTATTATTATTATTATTATTAGTAGTAGTAGTAGTAGTAGTAGTAGTAGTAGTAGTAGTAGTAGTAGCAGCAGTATTACTTTTAGCCTGGGAAATAGAGGGTAATCAATGTTTGATCCTAGGACATGGCAGCTGAAGCTGTCATCATGACTCACGAAACAATAACACGATTACAAACAAACCAGGGAACAGGTGGGGGTGTGAACAGATGGATTCACTCCCCCACCCGTTCCCTGGTTCCTAGCTGAAGTTCCTGGGATCAAGAGCCACAGGGAGGTACTCACAGTGTAGCTCGTCCGCGTGGTTGTCCCTACAGTCTGGCCAACCATCACACCAGTAGTAGCGGTGGACTCTAGCTCCCGACCCACACACGGCGAAGTCTTCTGTGGGGGAAAGGAGAGACACATCAACGCTGACGTCACTGTATACATCAAGTGTAAGGTTAGTACTCCTAGTTAGTACGTCAGTACTGACATCTACACACACACACACACACACACAACAGGCCAAGTGTCTAATCGACAAGTAATGGTTCGGAGGAGAGAGGCTGCAAAACTCCTTGGAAGAGGACCTCGAAGTGAGGCTAATCTCAAGCATCTTACCCAGGGTTCACAGCACAATAACAGCTGTATCAAACACGACACTGGTAGATTCAGGGTCAGCTTTCAGCACCATCAACAAGGCGTCATTCACGCCAATACACACGAAATCCTAATAACACGATTGCAAACAAACGACGGATCGGGAGGGGTTTGAATCCATGGCGAGTCGTAAAACTCCTGGCCAGTGCGTAAACCACTCTGCTACTGTAGCGACCTGGCCCAGTGGCTTACGCACTGGTCTGAAGTTTTACGATACACTCGCCATGGGTTCAAATCCCTACCCGTTCCGTGATTTCTCTACCTACGACATTTATCAGACCCACCTTGGAGTATGAAGCTCCAGGTATGTAGCCCGCGTCCAAAAAAGAGGATGCACAGGAGCTGGAGGACAAAGTACAAAGGTTTGTAACGAAATTAGTCCCATAGTTGAGGGTATGGCGACAAAAGAACTAGGGGGATTTGACTTACATGCCAAAAATACAGGATGGAGAGGGAGAGTCTGTTTGATAGTCAGGTATATTGGGAAATAATTCTTTAACCTTGGAATGGTCAGGAACTGAATGACCTAGACAGCGAAGTGATAGTGGCTGGATCCACACAGTTTTAAATATAGGTATGATACGGCTCACTCAGGCAGGAGAGGGGGAAGAAACAATAACAGCAAGCAGAGAAGGTGCCAGGAGCCGACACTCGGCCTCTACAACTACAAATAGGTGAGCACACAATTATCATAATAATGTTTCTTAAAAGCGGTGTACAACATTTCGTCCACACACTTAGAGAAAATGAACAACATAATGCTTTCATTATATCCTACCATGACCTCAATACTGGCATTAAATACAAACTATAAAGTTGGCATGACTAACTCCCTCCCACGAAGGCAATATCACCACGTAAATTACAAACACACATGAAGCACTGGAGTATTTAGTTACGAAACTCACCACTGGGCTGGTGGAGAGTTTTATCAGTCCAATATAGGGCGTCATACACTTATGGTACACACACAAATTATATATATATATATTTCCTAAGATGTGCACCTTCATATGATAACCCTATACTGCACGAATATGACAGTATTCTGAGGCAGATTTTTACGAAAGTACTTAACCTTACTCTAGAAGACGGGCAGTGGAACCAAGCTACACTTCCAGTCAGACTAGGAGGCATTGGTGTCCGCAAGTCATCACAGATTGCGTTACCTGCTTTTCTGTCCTCGTGTATTGCATCCAGAGAGCTTGTAACAGCGATTCTCCCTGAACATCTTAGGGACAAGATTGGAGTCCAGGACCAAAAATTCATTGACGGAGCAATGATCTGGGATATTCTAACGGGCTCTGAAACCAGACCTGCTCCCCCCAACAACTACAAACAATCGCACTGGGATGGTCCAGTAGTGGAAAATATTGCCTCAACAATGCTTCAAAGTGTGTCAGGGAAGGATAGAGCCCGCCTCCTGGCAGTGAGAGCCCCTCATGCTGGGGACTTTCTGTTGGCTGTTCCCAACTCCAGCCTTGGCACACGCCTTGACCCACAGACCATCCGCATTGGTGTTGCCCTTCGACTTGCCGCCCCTATTCTCGCCGAACACAGGTGTATTTGTGGCAGTGAAGCAGCAGACCGATTCGGGTACCATGGTCTTGTGTGCCGTAAATCCGAGGGAAAGATGGCAAGACATGAGGAGGTTAATAACATTATCAAGAGGAGCCTCACAACAGCTGGATGCCCAGCAGTAAGGGAGCCACCCCAACTATGTAGATCTGATGGCAGCCAGAAGCGTCCAGATGGTATCACCCTTCAAGCCTGGACAGATGGGAAGCAGGTGGTGTGGGACTATACATGTGCATCTACCTTGGCTGATACCTATCTCCAATACACCAGGGAAGAAGGAGGGGCAGCTGCCAGCTTCAGGGAGTCCCAAAAGTCTAGAAAATATGGAGAACTTGCCCATCATTATATGTTTGTTCCCATAGGCTCAGAGACCCTTGGCTCATGGGGAAAGAGTGCATCTAATTTCCTTAAGGAGCTGGGAAAAAGACTCATCAGGGTAACTAGGGATCCCAGGGCAGCTAGTTTTCTGTTCCAGCGGCTCAGTGCGGCTGTTCAAAGGGGTAAGGCATGCTGCATTTTGGGCACACGCCCCAGCTCTGAGAAGCTGGATGAGATTTTCGCCCTATAATCAGTGATACACACGTAACAACATGTACCGTATATGCCACCTTTATATTAACAATGTATCTCTTAAATCTTCTGTGCCATATTATGTAATAAAATATTCCTATTGGTAAAAAAAAATAGTTTAAAAGATGGGGTGGTAGGGGAAGTGGAATATTCAAACGGCTTCAGGAAGAAATCCAAATATTCCTCCTTGAAGCCTTTTTATCCACTTCTCCGAGGCTATGGGTCCCAAAATTTACACCAGAGGTGGACCCCATCCTATATAAACACTGATATATATATAAATACTGATCTCTGGCTGAAGGAGACTCGAACCTACGAACCTTAGGACAAGGTACGCAGTGCTTTACCAATCTACCCAGTGTGGGTAGATTGGTAAAGCACTGCGTACCTTGTCCTAAGGTTCGTAGGTTCGAGTCTCCTTCAGCCAGAGATCAGTGTTTGTGTATATTTCGCCTGCTCTCGCGAATTCCTTGCATATATATATATTATATATATATATATATATATATATATATATATATATATATATATGACGAGGACAGCGACGATAACAAATGTAAAACTGCAACAGTAAATGATGTATCGTCCATACACTGCTAAAACTGTATATTCCCACAACGTAAAGTTTTTATATTCTTCAAAATCCTCTTTCTTCCCTCCCGATCCCATTCCAGAACCTCTCCAGCTGGGATCCCAGATTGCCTGGAATTTGATTCCCAGTTGAGCGAATGACCTGTCCATTCTGAAATGGGTGGAGGACCGAAATGTCAAATATTTTACATCCCCCATAATGGCAGATAGTGGCTATCATAAATCCCACCGTGATGGCAGGTAGTGGCTATCTTAAATCCCACCATAATGGTAGGTAATGGCTATCTTAAATCCCACCATAATGGTAGGTAATGGCTATCTTAAATCTCACGTCATGATAGCCCAGTGGCTACCCTACCATCATGGTAGCCCAGTAGCTACCCTAAGCCTACCATCATGGTAGCCCAGTGACCAGATATATCAAATCACGAGGGAACTCTGCTAGACAATCGAGTTTACTCGTAACCTCTAAACCTGATAGATGGCAAGGCTCGTTCGTGGGGTCCGTAAAGTTCGTTCGTGGGGTCCGTAAAGTTCGTTCGTGGGATCCTTAAAGTTTATTCGTGGGGTTCTTAAAGCTCGTTCATACTGACCGTACAATATTACAAACTGTACTCACCTAGTTGTATCTGCATGGGTCGAATCAGGCTTCTGGGGTAGCCTATCTGTGGCGTCGTTAAGTGAGAGGCAATCTGGGGTAATTACCTGGAAGGCAGTGGACCTCATCCGTGGCGTCCTTACAGTGGGCAACACCATCACATATACGTCCAGGCCGGATACACTGTCCGTTAGAGCACTCAAACTCTGCCTTCCAGCACTCACGGTGATCTGTACGGAGGTGGTAACGTAATGGTATCTCAGTGTGGAGGAAGAGGAGGAGGAGGAGGAGGAGGAGGAGGAGGAGGAGGAGAAGGAGAAGGAGAAGGAGATGGAAAAGGAGGAAGAGGACTAGAATGAGGAGAGTGGGGAGGGAAAATGAGAGGGAATGCGTAACAGAAGAAATGGGACATATAATAACACAAGAAAGGAGAAACACTGCAGGAGGCCTACTGGCCCACACTAGGCAGGTTCTTCTCAAACCCCAAACCTACTAACAAAAAATATTTGCCCAACCTATTTTCAGTGCTGTCCAAAGAGGAGAAGTGGAGGAGAAAGAGTAACAGGAGCATGAGAAGAAAAAGCAGCAAGAAGAAAAAGTAATAACAATGTGTAAATAAATGAAAGAGGAAAGAAATAATACGGAGAAGCAGGAGGGAAAAACTAAATGCAAAGAATATTGCAATTTGCAAGAACTTATCATCACAGCGTATACTGTATTCAGTTTAATATGTAATGAACACTTAGATGGTAGCATCCCTCCATATTGTACAAGTAATGACAGTTTTAACATTCTGAATCATTTACCAAACTGCGGCAGGCCAGGGCTCGACCCCGCGACACAATGTCCCGCCTCGAGAGACAACACAACGTACATGTCACCTTACCACTGAGCCAGCGATCCTACCACTTTTTTTTTTAGAGAGCAGCTATTATTTTTGAAAGTTATTAGGCCAAAAAATGACAACTCTTAACAGAAGAATTTGGTGCTGCAGAAAGTAATAATTTTGGTAGCTGGTTTCCCCACGTCAGAATCTGTGAAACGTATTAAAAGTTTAAGACACTCCTAAGTATATCATCTTAGTATAAATTACTATGTAAAGATCCATTGTTTTATTTCAAATGTGGGAGAGAGACCTAGTGGGAGAGAGACCTAGCTTGTGTAGGTCAGAGGAGACTTCCCGTGTTGAAGACCCGTGTCAGGAGACACTGTTTCCAGACGGATAAACCACGACAAATCACAATTTTTAGCAGATGGTTACGTCGTTTAAATTCTGATTTAGAACTGAAACCATAATAATGCGAATATAAATGTAATGTTGTAGTAGTAGTTAATGGGAATATTAAATATTGTTTGTACTAAATAGGTGTAAACGAAGAGAATTTCTTTGTTAGGCAAGTGAATGTGGATTTACGATATAGTGAATCTTTAAATTCACACACACTCTCTCTCTCAATATAAATTCTGGTCCCTGAATCAATATGCATATACAAGGGCGTCAGGGCTGAGTGTCTTAACGCAATTATCAAATTTCAGTTAGTCTTCACACCTGCTGCACAAAGTGAATATCAACAAACATTTCAGTTGTGCCCTCCTCCCAGCGTCTCTCCAACCCTCCTTCCTCCCACGAAGTATGTGGGTCATACATTTTCTCCCAAGAACCGCGTCCTTCATGACAGACCTCTCTGAGGAGGAGACTGAGGTAATCAGTCCCTCAGCCTGGAGTCGATGTGTTCAGTCCATCGACTCCAGGTTAAGAGACTGATTACTTCATTCTCCACCGTTCTTCTCTGTTTTGGACTGAAGAAGCCAATGGCTGGCGAAGCGTTTCCTCAATAAAGATTCCCAAATGTTGCACGTGTTTCACTCAACATGTGGGTTTTTCTAGACCATTTACGTCACAGACTTGTCTTACTCATTTTTTCCCCATGTTTTTTCTCTTCTGGTCTTTCCATAAAAATTTAAGACCCAGTGTTTCTTGTTGGTCCAAATAGGAAAATTCTTTCCTGGAGAAAAACATTTCTTTTACCCTGTGTTTCTCGTAGGACTTTCTTATAACCCACACAACAAATCGTTTGTGGGTTTCTAGATGTTTCTACCGGAATAACTGTTTCCAGAACAGACCAACGACGTTTCGGTCCGACTTGGACCATTTACAAGTCACACTAACACAAGAGTGAGGGAGCCAGTATATACTGGCGAGGACCCCGTGTATACAGCACCTATTTTCGCAGTTCCACGTTTTTCACTGAGCCATTGCTCATTACGTTCGGTGCTTTTACCGCTGCGCCGCCGTTCTCATTTTCGTACAAGTGTTGTGTAAGGGAAAGACAACTGGTGCTATATTTAGAGCCGTATGAACAGGGCCCTCTTGTATCCTAAATTTTTTTTGGGTATACTGATTCTTTTTCTTGCAGCTTTTTTCCCCTGTAATCTATAAAATCAACAGCTTCCCCTGTTTCCCATGCTTCCCGCTGCTTCCCATAATTCCCGCTGCTTCCCGTGCTTCCCGTAATTCCCGCTGCTTCCCGATACTTCACGTGAAATGAGTCCATCAGTAAAATTTCACGTACCTCAGTTCTTTTTTGGCATTTGTAGTTTTTAGGAGTTTTCCAATAAAATCAATAAGGTTTTGTAGTCTGAGCTGATGTTCTGGACCCACTCCATCCAGAATAAACCAAATATGTATACCCTTCTTTTATTTATTTTTTGCATCTTTCCCTAAAACCCAGAAAACCAATAGAATATTGTTTTTCCAGGTGCCTCTCGTGGAACTATGTTATCCACAGCACACCAGCATCCAGATTCTTTTTACTTACTTTTCTTAAAGAATAACAAGGCACAATACCGTGATTGGAACAATACACAAACAACCCGCACTTAGGTCGACGTGTTACTAACTAGTAACATGGTCCAAAACTGACCGAAACGTCGTCGTTAGTTCCATTCTCTTACATGCAGGTTATTTGTGTATTTCACTTCTCTTGGTTTTCCGGATCGCTCCCTATAACCCGTGAAAGCAACCGCTCTGGTGGTTCCAGCTGCTGTTCCACAAACCATTCCCAGCAAAACAATACAAATGTCTTAACACACCTTCCAGCGGGGTGACAATGCGTCTCCCGCACCTGCTTTCTTAAAACGTCTTCCTTACAGAGGAGTCGGAGTAATTGCCAGAGTTACCGGGAAAGTTTTGGGAGGAAAACAGTTACCAGACGATAACTTATTTATGCAACCCACTCCCCCTTTCCCCGGTTTTTACGAAATAGAATGTAGATGAAGGTAGATATGCAGGAACTGAGGCACAGGGGTAAAAAATGAGGATGCTGTGAGAGTTCTTCATCCGCAGTGACAGACTACTGCAATGGGAAGCAGGATGGGGTGGCACCTGATAAAACAACTAAGTATTAAGCTGACAAATTAGACACTGAAGATGAGTACAGTGTCACTCTTTCTAATTTCATTCTCTCTCTCTTCTTTGTGCCTCATTCTCTTCCTTTTGTCTCCCTTTCTTCCTTATGCCTCCCTCTCTTACTTTTGTCTCCTCTTCTTCCTTGTGCCCCATTCTCTTCATTGTGCCTCCCTCTCTTCCCTTCGTCTCCTCTTCCGTGTCTCTCCCTCTTCACTTTTTTTCTCTTGTGTTTTTTTTTGTCATCTCTTCACCCGAGTTCCATTTCTTCTCAGTCGCAAATCGTCAATTAATTAATTTCAGTGTTCCTTCACTCCTCGCCACTCACATCACCCTTCACTCCTCGCCACTCACATCACCCTTCACTTCTCACCAGTCACATCACCCTTCACTTCTCACCAGTCACATCACCCTACACTTTTGTCCACTTCACCCACATTTTTAATTAAAACCCCTTTCACCCCTCCTCTACCCCACCATCACCCCTACCAAGTACCACTTACTCACCTCAACCCCTCCCTCCCTCCATCATATCCCTCTCCCCTTGTAGGAACTCACAACAGTGTCAGCAGTTACAATAGTGCTGATACTTCAGTGTCAGCAGTTACAACGGTGCTGATACTTCACAGAATGTCAGCAATTACAACAGTGCTTGTACGTCAGTGTCAGCAGTTACAACAGTGCTGATACTTCACAGTGCCAGCAGTTACAACAGTGCTGATACTTCAAAGACTGTCAGCAGTTACAAGTGTCAGCGGGTACTTACGACACTCTTGCTCGTCGGATCCGTCGCCACAGTGGTCGTGGAAGTCACAGACATGCTCACTAGGGACGCAGAAGTGGTTGTTGCACTTAAAGTGACCAACTGGGCACGCGTACGTCTCTGCAAGTGCAATATCAACTGTATATACGAGAGAGAGATATAGAAGTCCAGATAAGCTGTATGAACTCCTTTGATATACGACTAACGAATTTATACATGCAAAATAGAAAGTTACTTTTACAATTTGCGCGACTAAATTTTTTCCCTTGTGCTTTAGCATGTAAGCGAGGAAAAACGTTATTAAATATTCATTAATTTGTGTCCACACACAATTAAACCCACAATATCAGTAATTAAATTCACACCACCTACACTTAAATATGAATTAAATAAATTATTGTAATCATAAATACGTTGATTTTCTGCTTACAAACACTGACCCTTTTTTTTTTGGTCTGTAAATCTTGTCACTGTTGGTCTAAATTAACATACAAAAAAAAACATATGCAAAATAGCCTATGCAAATTACACCCACGCGGGACATGGAGATTTTTTAAATGGTCTATACATGGTCACTCTCGAGGGATTTTGGTTCCCTTGACAACCAGGCACACGAGGACACAAGAATGAAATATTGTTGTAAATGGCTTACTGGTTCATGGTAGGCAGGTCCAGCTCACCCACTCACGTAAATATGATAATGGCATACAGTACTATCGAAAAGTTTCGCCTACACAGTAGGCTTCTTCAGTTGATATAGAGGAGGCAGCAGTAGCCATGTAGAGACGATATAATCAGTCTATCTCCCTTAAAGATGTAGTTTTGAGATGGTCAGTCCCTCAGCCTGGAAAAGTGTTTTGCTCCATGGTCTGGAACAATGTTCCAGAATATGTTGCACATGAGTCTTACTTATCGGCACCCATTCCTGAACCCGGCCAACCCATTATAAAAGCTATATGAGGTTCTTCCCATTAGTGATGCTACTTTGAGGTGTGTTCCACTCAGCTCCCGGTTTGTAAACACTCTGGTAATACTGACAAAACTGTGGAAAAAAAAAAAAACACTGGTGTAAAGTACAGTGAAGGAATCGTTTCGCCAGTAATAGCTACATCAGTCGTAATGATGCCCACTCGGGGTGAAACGTTTCTTGAACACAAGCGTCCTCCACTCTCAGCTACAACTCTATGGCTAAAGAATTTTTTCTCTATCCTTTCTAAATCTAAATTTGTTCAATTTGAATCTAAGAAACAGTTCCTATATCCTTTCTAAATCTAAATTTATCCAATTTGAATCTAAGAAACAGTTCCTATATCCTTTCTAAATCTAAATTTATCCAATATGAATCCATTTCTGCGGGTCCTGTCCTGATTGGACGCTTCAGGATCTTATTTGTATCCCGCTGACCTGAATACGACCCCATGACCTGACCCCCAACACTTACCACAGTTGGCCTCGTCTGCGGCGTCGACACAGTCGATTCGGGTGTCGCACAGCCGCATGTTGTCTATGCAGGTCTCCCCGCACTGGTACTCGTTGGGCAAGCAACCTGTACACACACAGAAGAACCTGTTTTAATTCTGAATAAACTCTGTCTTTACACAGGGTTTCAAAAGGTTACGTTAAGGTTCGTAACTTTATTTACAAGCTAAGAGCTGTTACCTACATTACCTCATTTGAAAGCCTTTTTATTGCTATGAGACACACCAATGGGGAACAGGATGAACTTGAAGTCATGTGATGTGATCTGTCAGAGTGGACGGGTAAACCAGAGAACGGTCTGGTTACAATGACCAAAAGCTCCAGTAAGGGGGTCGTCATGTGGCTAAAGACCCGGGTCTTAGTCATGTGACTAAACCATGCGTCTCTCATGACTCGTGTCAGAACACACTTGTCCTGCTTTCTGGCAAATAAAATACCACACTAAATGCACTGCATAATAAAGCACTTTGTGCATGCATTCCAGTGTCACTCATTCCTGTACAAGGAATGAGACACTGGAATGCATGCATGAATTGTTAAAATAAAAACTCGGGGAAAAGATGTCAAACATGTATGATAAATTCCTCACATTACAGCTCATATAAATACATCTAGGTGAGTGCAAGTGGGGAACGCGTCTGTCTCGCACACGCCGGACGAAGGATCGAGCCTCCACCACGTCTTGCACTAGGTGACTCACATGGGTTTGGCGCTTAACATTAATTATTTATTACACCCAGTAGTTGAAAGAGTCGTGTTACACCCTCCAGTAATGTCTGCTTTATATTTTCCCCAGTTTACAAATTAATTTTCACTTAATATCGGCGATAATTAATTCCCAGAATTTTACACGAACGAGCAGGCATTAATGTCAATTTTAATCACTTAATTACTTCCTCTCTGACTAACAAAATGTTATAAGCCGGTACAACATGCTTGGGGATAAGGTTGGAGAAATACCTGGTGGGAGTGTGTGCTTCTGATAAGGAACTGCCTTGTATGAGCCAGCAGCTCCATTCTCAAACCCAACCAACCTCCCCACAATTGCACTACTACTGCTACTACTACTGTTACTACTACTACTGCCCACACGGCCTTTCACCTGACTCCTGCCATTATATACACTCGTTTCTGTTTTCTCAGTATTAGGACTGAAGAAGTCACTCGTGGCGAAATGTTTCCTTTAATAAATGTACTGAACTGTCCATAATTGTTTTTTCCACATCTTGTCGGTATCACTATACCATTTCTCATGGGCCAGTAGGCCTCCTGCAGTGTTCCTCAATTTTTATGTTATGTATTCCGTCGTCGCTGAGACCTAAATAAGTGTACAGGAGCCATGACTCTTCAACGTCTTCCCACCCTTGGCTATCCAAGAGGAAATACGAAAAGTTCCTCATGCCAGTTCCTGATCAGCCGGACTGTGGTGCATACACTGGACTTCGGGCGGCTGGCACCAACTGTTTGATCAATCAGGCCAGCAACCTGGAGGACTGGTCTGGCCAGCGGGGAGCGACGACAACGTACGAGACTACAGGTACTTTGATAAATTACCATTGCCAAGAATGTAAAATAGCTGAATTGTGAAAAGGTTGTCTAAATTCGGAACTGGTCTGTCTACTGTATGCATATAACTGATCCAGATAATTTATATGTGGAGAAGACAAAAAAAATATTATCTTGACATGAAGCTAGGTTTAAAAAATGGAAAACTGTGCTACCAGAACGCCACCAACCACTCAACCAGAACGCCACCCACCACTCAAACAGAACACCACCCACCACTCAACCAGAACACCACCCATCACTCAAACAGAACACCATCCACCACTCAACCAGAACACCACCCATCACTCAAACAGAACACCACCCACCACTCAACCAGAACACCACCCACCACTCAACCAGAACACCACCCATCACTCAAACAGAACACCATCCACCACTCAACCAGAACACCACCCATCACTCAAACAGAACACCACCCACCACTCAACCAGAACACCACCCATCACTCAACCAGAACATCACCCATCACTCAACCATAACACCACCAACCACTCAACCAGAACACCACCCATCACTCAAACAGAACACCACCCACCACTCAACCAAAACACCACCCACCACTCAACCAGAACACCACCCATCACTCAACCAGAACACCACCCACCACTCAACCAGAACACCACCCATCACTCAGAACACCACCCACCACTCAACCAGAACACCACCCATCACTCAACCAGAACACCACCCACCACTCAACCAGAACACCACCCATCACTCAACCAGAACACCACCAACCACTCAACCAGAACATCACCCATCACTCAACCAGAACACCACCCACCACTCAACCAGAACACCACCCATCACTCAACCAGAATGTCATGTGGGGTTCGAAACGTGGATGGGGGTAAGAACACTCATGTAGGATGTTCTAGTATATTGGATAGAACACTCACGTAGGCTGGTTAGTACGTATAATTATAACGGAAAGTATGGGAAGAAGCCGTGCTGCCCTGCCTCTCTGCTCTTTATCTCAGACTGACTCACCAGTGCCCAGGGGGTGAGCGGCGTTCAAAAACATGCTATGGTCAGCAGCAACGTGAATAACAGTCAGTGATTCACACACGGTTGGTAGCGAGTCATCTACTGGTAACTGGTTACTGGTACTACTGAGAAGAACACCACCCATCACTCAACCAGAGCACTGCCCATCACTCAACCAGAGCACTGCCCACCACTCAACCAGAACACCAACCCACCACTCAACCAGAACACCACCCATCACTCAACCAGAGCACCATCCACCACTCAACCAGAGCACCGCCCACCACTCAACCAGAACACCACCCACCGCTCAACCAGACCACCAACTCACCACTCAACCAGAACACCACCCATCACTCAACCAGAGCACCACCCACCACTCAACCAGAGCACCGCCCACCACTCAACCAGAACACCAACCCACCACTCAACCAGAACACCACCCATCACTCAACCAGAGCACCACCCATCACTCAACCAGAGCACCGCCCACCACTCAACCAGAACACCACCCACCACTCAACCAGACCACCATCACTCAACCAGAACACCACCCATCACTCAACCAGAACACCACCCATCACTCAACCAGAACACCGCCCACCACTCAACCAGAGCACCACCCACCACTCAACCAGAGCACCGCCCACCACTCAACCAGAACACCAACCCACCACTCAACCAGAACACCACCCATCACTCAACCAGAGCACCACCCACCACTCAACCAGAGCACCGCCCACCACTCAACCAGAACACCGCCCACCACTCAACCAGACCACCCATCACTCAACCAGAGCACCACCCATCACTCAACCAGAGCACCACCCATCACTCAACCAGAGCACCACCCATCACTCAACCAGAACACCACCCACCACTCAACCAGAACACCATCCATCACTCAACCAGAACACCACCCACCACTCAACCAGAGCACCACCCACCACTCAACCAGAGCACAGCCCACCACTCAACCAGAACACCAACCCACCACTCAACCAGAACACCACCCATCACTCAACCAGAGCACCACCCACCACTCAACAGAGCACCGCCCACCACTCAACCAGAACACCACCCACCACTCAACCAGACCACCCATCACTCAACCAGAACACCGCCCACCACTCAACCAGAGCACCACCAACCACTCAACCAGAGCACCGCCCACCACTCAACCAGAACACCACCCACCACTCAACCAGAACACCACCCATCACTCAACCAGAACACCGCCCACACTCAACCAGAGCACCACCAACCACTCAACCAGAGCACCGTCAACCACTCAACCAGAGCACCGCCCACCACTCAACCAGAACACCACCCATCACTCAACCAGAGCACCACCCATCACTCAACCAAAACACCACATACCACTCAACCAGAACACCACCCATCACTCAACCAGAACAACGCCCACCACTCAACCAGAGCACCGCCCACCACTCAAGAACACCGCCCACCATTCAATCAAAACAGCTCTCGCCATTCAACCAGAACACCGCCCACCACTCCAATTGCATTACAGACCGCAACTTTAGTGCCGCTAGCGGAAAGCGATTTACCGAGAGTGCCAGGTGTCCACCCGAGTGCCAGGTGTCCACCTGAGTGCCAGGTGTCCACCTGAGTGCCAGGTGGCCATCACCTGCTCGGGGAAAAACAAAGGAGCAGCACTCACACTGCGAGGCAACAAAAACGAAGTCAACTGAGAGACAAACACAACACTAAGAAAAACATCAAGACAAACACAACACCAAGACAAACAACACCAAGACAAACAACACCAAGACAAACACAACACCAAGACAAACAACACCAAGACAAACACCACCAAGACAAACACAACACCAAGACAAACAACAAAACAGAGCATCAAGACAAACACAATACCAAGACAAACACCAAGACAAACACAACACCAAGACAAACACAACACCAAGACAAACACAACACCAAGACAAACACCACCAAGATAAACACAACACCAAGACAAACACCACCAAGACAAACACAACACCAAGACAAACAACACATTCAACCTACATCTCCTCCTCCACACCTCTGACCCCTAACTAGTGTAGCTCAAAATAAAAAGCACTCTAGCAATGACTGAGACACTAAATAGATTATTATAGACCATGTATATGTAATTTGGCGCATGATGACTTAGTTATACTGAACTAGATGCACTCTTCCAATTACTTCGTTAGGTTTAATACCTATCGACTTCCCAATTCACCTGTGTATTAATATGGAGAATACTTTATTTCCTGTAATAAAGTTGGTAGAATTACCGGCTTGACAAAGCTCCTGGAGAGCGAAACGTTGCCACAATAAAAATGTCACGTTAGGTGCACTTGTGTCCTTTTACTTTATTTCCTCAAAATACCGATAAAAGTAAGCCCTCAGTGTATATACACCGAGAGAGAGGGATGCATCTTTCAACAACAATACCAATCAAATCCAAAATAAGTAATACTAGGAATGGATAATCTGAGCCCCCGA